CAAGGTACCCAAACCCCCTCCTGGCAGCACCTTTGGGACCCTCAAGGTACCCAAACCCCCTCCTGGCAGCACCTTTGGGACCCTCAGGGCACCCAAACCCCTCCTGGCAGCACCTTTGGGACCCTCAGGGCACCCAAACCTCCCCTGGGAGCATCCCTGGGACCCTCAGGGTGCCCAAACCCCTCCTAGCAGCACCTCTGGGACCCCCAAAGTACCTTTGGGACCCTCAGGGCACTCAGACCCACCCCTGGCAGTGGCACCCAGAGCCCCCTGGCAGCATCTTTGGGACCCCTGAGGTACCTTTGGGACCCTCAGGGCACCCAAATCCCCGCCCTGGCATCACCTGCAGGACCCTCAGGGTACCCAAACCTCCCCTGGGAGCATCCCTGGGACCCTCAGGGCACCCAAACCCTTCCTGGCATCACCTTTGGGACCCCTGAGGGTACCCAAACCTCCCCTGGGAGCATCCCTGGGACCCTCAGGGTAGCCAGAACCCCCCCTGGCAGCACCTTTGGGACCCCCAACACTCCAGAACCCCCAACCCCCTGAGACCCCATTTAGGAGACCCCACACCCAAACCCCCAGGACCCCACACCTCGGGGGCTCCATTCCCCACCCCCCTGAGACCCCCCCAGACCCCCCATTTAGGAGACCCCAACCCCCTGAGACCCCCAATTTCGAGGTCCCCAACCCACTGAGACCCCCCAGACCCACATTTAGGAGACCCCACACCCAAACCCCCAGGGCCCCACACCTTGGGGGCTCCATTCCCCACCCCCTGAGACCCCCAGACCCCTCATTCCAAGAGGTCCCCAGACCCCTCATTTTGAGCTCCCCACACCCCTGCACACCCCCAGACCCATTTCGACTTCTCCACCTCCCTGAGACCCTCCAGACCCCCCAGTTTCAAGATCCCCCCCCCCATTTCGGGGTGCCCAGGCCCCTGCAGCCCCCCCAGCCCCTCACCCAGGGTGACGAGGACGTGGCGGATCTCAGCCCCCATGACGGTGCCGTTGCCCTCCTTGTCGAACACCCTGAGCCCCTCCACGTAGTCCTCGAAGCAGCCCTGGTCCTTGTTCTTGGCGATCGTTTGCATCATGGGCAGGAACTGCTCGAAGCTCAGCGTCTTCACGTTCATCTCTGAGCACGGGAAGGGTGGGTGGGGGGCTTTTCCAAGGGTGGGGGGGCTTTTCCAGGGTGGGGGGGATTTTCCAGGGGGTTTACAAGGGTGGGGGGCTTTTCCAGGGTGGGGGGCTTTTCCAGGGTGGGGGGCTTTTCCAGGGGGTTTTGCGGGAGGGGAGGCGTGGGGTTGAGGGTTTGAGGGTGGGGGTCTCATTGGGGGTAAGTGCTCAGGGGTGAGGGTCTCTGGTGCTGAGAGTTTAGGGGTGGGGGTCTCTGGTGTTGAGGGTTTGGGGTGGGGGTCCCACTGGAGCTGAGGGTTTGGGGTGGGGGTCACTGGTGCTGAGGGTTTGGGGTTGGGGGTCCCACTGGTGTGGAGGGTTTGGGGTCCCACTGGAGCTGAGGGTTTGGGGTCTCACTGGTTCTCTCTGCAGTGCTCAGGGGTGAGGGTCTCTGGTGCTGAGGGTTTTGGGGTGGGGGTCCCGCTGGGGCTCAGAATTTGGGGTGGGGGACTCTGGTGCTGAGGGTTTGGGGCTGGGGGTCCCACTGGTGTGGAGGGTTTGGGGTCTCACTGGAGCTGAGGGTTTGGGGTCTCACTGGTTCTCTCTGCAGTGCTCAGGGGTGAGGGCCTCTGGTGCTGAGGGCTTGGGGATGGGGGTCCCACTGGAGCTGAGGGTTTGGGGTTTGGGGTCTCTGGTGCTGAGGGTTTGGGGCTGGGGGTCCCACTGGTGCTGAGAATTTGGGGTGGGGGTCTCTTTGGGGGTGCTCTCTGCAGTGCTCAGGGCTGGGGGTCTCACTGCTGTTGAGGATGTGGGGTGGGGGTTGGTTGGGTGAGGGGGGGGGTCTTGGTGTTGGGGTCAGTTTGGGGGTGGGGGTCTCTCTGGTGCTGAGAATTTGGGGTGGGGGTCTCTGGTGCTGAGGGTTTTGGGTGGGGGTCTCGTGGTGAGGATTTAGGGGTGGGGTCTCACTGGTGTTCAGCGTTTGGGGCAGGGGGTCTCATTGGTGCTGGGGGTTTGGGGTCTCATTGGTGTTGAGGGTTTGGGGTTTGGGGTCTCACTGGAGCTGAGGGTTTGGGGTCTCAGTGTCGGGGTCTCACTGGAGCTGAGGGTTTGGGGTCTCAGTGTTGGGGTCTGTCACTGGTTCTGGGGTTTGGGGTCTCACTGGTTCTCTCTGCAGTGCTCAGGGGTGGGGGTCGCTTGTGTGAGGGGGGGTCCTGAGGGGGCAGCAAAAGGGGGGGATCCCCCCCTCCCCACTCACCATCGCTTTTGGGGTTCCCCAGCACCTTCATGACCTCGGCGTTGGTCGGGTTCTGCCCCAGCGCCCTCATCACGTCCCCGCATTGGCTGTACAGGATCTTCCCGTCCCCCGTGCGGTCAAAGAGCTGGAACGCCTCCTTGAACTCTGCCGGGACCCCCGCGTCAGGCCGGGGCTACCGGGACCACCGGGACCACCGGGAACCCCCCAGGACCACCCCCGGTCAGTGCGAGACCACCGGGATCCCCCCGGGACCACCGGGACCACCGGGAACCCCCCGGGACCACCGGGATCCCCCCGGGACCCCCCCCGGTCAGTGCGAGACCACCGGGAACCCCCCGGGTCCTGTGGGACCACCGGACTCCACTGGGGCACCAGGACCACCGGGACCCCCCCCAGGGTACCGGGACCCCCCCTGTATCAGTGCCGGGACCACCGGGACCCCTCCCAGGTCAGTGCCGGGACAACCGGGAGCCCCCCGGGACCCTCCCTGTATCAGTGCCGGGACCATCAGGGCACCGGGACGCCCCCTCAGGGACCCCAAACACAGCCGGGACCCTCCCTCAGTTTCAGCAGGGCCGGGACCACCGGGACCCCCTGTGACAACATCACCGGGACCCCCGGGGCACCGGGACCACCGAGTCGGCAACTCCGGGACCTCCGGGACACCGGAGCCTCCGGTTTGTTCCACCGGGACCCCAGAGCCGCATCCCCGGGACCCCTCAGACCCCCGGTCGGGTTTCGCTCGCCGGTGGGATCCGGTTTCCCGGTAGGATCCGGTTCCCGGTAGGATCCGGTTTCCCGGTGGAACCCGACCCCGGGTCGGGATGCAGGAGGGGCCGCCGCCCTCGGGGGATGCTGCCCGTGCCCGGCGGGTCCCGTTCGGAGCCCGGCGGGTCCCGGGGCACCGGGAGCGCTCCGGAATCCGCCGGCCCCGCCCCGCAGGAATGCGCGGCCGGCGCGCGCCATGCCCATATAAGGGCAAATTGCGCAGGAGGGGCCCGAACCCCCCCGGCCCCGGTTCTGTCCCGGTTCTGTCCCGGTTCCGGTCCCGGTTCCCATCCCGGTCCCGCACCCCCGGCCCGGTACCCCCCGGTGCCCCCGGTGCCGCATCCCCCCCATCCCCCGCTCCCAACGGGGACTTTGCCCCGGAAAGGCCCCGCCCGAGGCCGCGCAGGAAGCGCCGGGGGCGGCGGCGGCGGCGGGAGCGGCCCGGGGGGGTCCCTCCGCCGTGCCCGTGCCCGGTGCTCGCTCCCGGTGCCCCGGTGTCCGGTGTGCGGTGTCCGGTGCCGGTCACTCACCCGCGGTCTGCTCCTCCGAGAAGTCGCACTGCGGGGAGAGCGGCGGTCAGCGCGCACCGGGATGGGAACCGGGAACCGGCGGCGGCATCCCCGGTGCACGGAGCGGCCGCCCGCGCCCGGTGCCTGCCCGGTGCCCGCCCGGTGCTCCCGGGACCTCCCGCGCCATCCCCGCCCCGCTGCGACCCCCGCCCCGCGCCCCCCGCGCATCCCCCGCCCGCGCATCCCCCGCAGTTCCCGTTCCCGGTTCCCCTCCCGGTTCCGCTCCCGGTTCCGCTCCCGGTTCCCCTCCCGGTGCCGTTCCCGGTGCCGTTCCCGGTGCCCACCATGGCGGCGGCCGCTCCCGTCCGTTCCTGCTCCTTCGGGCGTCACCGCGCGGCTGCGTCACGGCGCTAATGAGGGTGTTAATTATTCATGAAGGAGCGGGGCGGGGCATCGGGGGGACACGCCCCTTTTCCAGCGGGGAATGTTTTGGCTATAGATGGGCACGGAGATGGCACCGCCACCCCCCCATGGGGACAGCACAGAGGGGACATCGCAGAGGGGACATCGCAGGGACATCACAGGGACACCCCCATGGGGACATCGCAGAGGGGACATCGCAGGGACACCCCCATGGGGACAGCGCAGAGGGGACACCCATGGGGACATCGCAGGGACATCGCAGAGGGGACACCTCAGGGGACACCTCAGGGACATCGCAGAGGGGACAAACACAGGGACACCCCCAGACACCCCCAGGGGGGACATCAAACTAGGGGGGCACCTACAGGGACACCCCCATGGGGGACATCACAGAGGGGACATCGCAGAGGACACCCACGGGGACACCCATGGGGACATCACAGGGACATCACAGAGGGGACATCAGAGAGGGGACATCACAGGGACGTCACAGGGACACCCCCATGGGGACATCGCAGAGGGGACACCTCAGGGGACACCTCAGGGACATCGCAGAGGGGACACCCATGGGGACACCCCCACGGGGACACCCCAGGCCGAGGGGATGCCCCCATGGGGACAGCACAGAGGGGACATCGCAGGGGACACCTCAGGGACATCGCAGAGGGGACAACACAGGGGACACCCATGGGGACATCGCAAAGGGGACATCACAGAGGGGACATCCCCATGGGGACACCCACAGGGACACCCCAGGCCGAGGGGACACCCCCATGGGGACAGCACAGAGGGGACAAACACAGGGACACCCCCATGGGGACATTACAGAGGGGACACCTCAGGGACACCCACCCCCATTTTGGGGCCAGTCCCACAGGGGACACCCCCAGGGACACGCCAAGGGTGACAGATGGGACAGCGAGGCCGTGTCCTCCCTCCTTTATTAGCGCGGGCAAGGGGAGGGCGTTGCACGGCGGTGGCGGCAGCGCGGTGACAGCCCGGGGACAGCCCGGGGGTGACAGCCCGGGGACAGCCCAGGGGTGACAGCCCGGGGACAGCCCGGGGGCGGCACGGTGGTGGCATCGCAGCAGTGGCCTGGCGGTGGCATCTCGGGGACATCCTGGGGACATCCAGGGACATCCCGGGGACACCTGGTGACATTCCAGGGACATCCTGGTGGCACCCGGTGACATCCCAGCAGTGACACCTTGGGGACATCCAGGGTCATCCTGGTGGTGACATCTGGGGACACCTTGGGGACATCCCAGTGACGTCTGGGGACATCCTGGTGACACCCGGTGATGTCCTGGTGATATCTCGGTGACATCCCAGGGACATCCCAGTGACGACATCCCAGTGGTGATAACCCGGTGACATCCCAGTGACATTTGGGGACATCCCGGTGATTTCTCGGTGACATCCAGGGACATCCCAGTGGTGACATCCAGGGACATCCCAGTGGCATCCCAGTGACATCCAAGGACATCCCGGTCATGTCCCGGTGATATCCCGGCAGTGGCACCTTGGGGACACCTTGGGGACACCTTGGGGACATCCCAGTGGTGACATCCCAGTGATACCCTGGGGACATCCTGGTGACATTCAGGGACATCCCGGCGGTGACATCTTGGGGACATCCCGATGATAACCCAGGGACATTTGGGGACATCCCGGGGGTGGCATCTTGGTGGCACCTTGGGGACAGCCCCGGCGGTGGCAGCAGCGGCTCCAAGAAGCGCCCCCGGTGTTGGGGGGGGGTCACAGAACCCCGGGGGTCTCTCGGGGTCCCTTTTTGGGGGGGGTCGCAAGGCACCAGAGCTTTTGGGGGGGGGGGCGCTGGGGGGGGGTCCCGGCACCTCTTTGGTGGGGGGGGGGTCCCGAGCCCCCCCCGTGTGTGGGGATTTGTGGGGGGGGGGGGGTCCCCAAATTCAGGGGAGGCTCCGCTCGTCCTGCAGCTCGTACCTGTATGGGGAATGGGGGGGGCCACATCAGAGACCCCTCCCCACATCAGAGACCCCTCCTCACATCAGAGACCCCTCCCCACATCAGAGACCCCTCCCTGCATCAGAGACCCCCCCCACATCAGAGACCCCCCCCCATATCAGAGACCCCTCCCCATATCAGAGACCCCTCCTCACATCAGAGACCCCCCCCACATCAGAGACCCCTCCCCACATCAGAGACCCCTCCCCACACCACAGACCCCCCCCAAACCCCCTGAGGACCCCCCAGAACCTTCCTAGAACCCCCCCAGGACCCCCCAAAACCTTCCCCAGGACCTCTTCAGGACCCCCAGACCCCCCCAAACCTCTTCAGGAGCCCCTCAGGACACCCCAGTCCCTTCCCAGGAGCCCCTGATGACCCCCAGACCCCCCAAACCCTCCCCATGACCCCTTTAGGGACCCCCAGATCCCCCAAATCCACCCCAGGACTCCCCCAGCATCCTCAGGACCCCTTGGGACCCCCCAGATCTCCCAAACCCTGAACCTCCCCAAACCCTCCCACAGGAACCCCTCAGGACCCCCCAAACCCTCCCCATGACCCCTTTAGGGACCCCCAGACCCCCCCAAATCCTCCCCAGGACCCCCCAGGACCCCCAGCCCCCCTCACCAGCGCGGGTCCCCCTCGCTCAGATCCACCTGGGCCAGCTCCAGCTGCAGCTGTGGGGTGGAGAAAAGGGTCTGGGGGGGCTCCAGCAGCACCCCCAGAGCCCCCAAACCCTCCCCAAAACCCACTGGGGACCCCCAGAGCCCCCAAAACCCACTGGGGACCCCCAAACCCTCCCCAGGATCCCCTGGAAACCCCCAGACCCCCCCCAAATCCTGAACCCCCAATCCCTCCCCAGGACCCCCGAAGCCTCCCCAAATTCCCCCCAGCATCCCCAAAACCCCTTGGGGACCCCCAGACCTCCCCAAAAACCCCACTCGGCACCCCCAGACCCCCCAAACCCAAAGGCCCCAAGCGCTGCCCACGACTCCCTGAGGACCCCCAGACCCTCCCCAAACCCTCCCCAAAACCCCCTGGGCACCCCCAAACCCTCCCCAGGACCCCCTGAGCATCCCCAGGAGCCCCTGGGACCCCCAGACCCCCCCCAAAACCCTCCCCAAAACCCCTTGGGGATCCCCAAACCCTCCCCAGGACCCCCCGAGCATCCCCAGGACCCCCTGGGACCCCCCAAACCCTCCCCAAAACCCCTTGGGCACCCCCAGACCTCCCCAAACCCTCCCCAAAACCCCCTGGGCACCCCCAAACCCTGCAAACCCTGAACCCCCAAACCCTCCCCAGGACCCCCTGAGCATCCCCAGGACCCCCTGAGGACCCCCAGACCCCCCCCAAACCCTCCCGGGGGATCCCCAAACCGTCCCCAGGAGCCCCGGGACCCCCGGACCTTGCCCAGCGTCTCCTTCTCCCGGGTCACGAAATTCACCGAGGATTTCACGGTGGCCTCGAGGCGGCGCCGCGGGGCCTCCTCCGGGGGCAGCTCCCACTCGAACCTGGGGCACCGACAGGGGCTGGGACCCCCGGGACCCCCAAAAACCCTCCCCAAAATCCCCTGGAAACCATCGGGACCCTCCCTAAAACCCCCTCGGGACCCCCAAACCCTCCCCAAAATCCCTCAGGGGACCCCCGGGACCCTCCCCAAAATCCCTCTGGGGACCCCCAAACCCTCCCCAAATCCCCTGGAAAACCCCCTCGGGACCCCCAAAATCGTCCCCAGAATCCCTCTGGGGACCCCCGGGACCCCCAAAATCGTCCCCAAAATCCCTCTGGGGACCCCCAGGACCTTCCCCAGGACCCCCGGGACCCCAAACCCTCCCCAAAATCCCCTGGAAACCCCCGGGACCCTCCCCAAAACCCCCTCAGGGACCCCCAAACCCTCCCCAAAATCCCTCTGGGGACCCCCAAATCCCTCCCCAAAATCCCTGGAAACCCCCGGGACCCCCAAACCCCTCCCCAAAATCCCTCTGGGGACCCCCGGGACCCCAAAATCCCCTCGGGACCCCCAAACCCCTCCCCAAAATCCCCTGGAAAACCCCCTCGGGACCCCCAAAATCGTCCCCAGAATCCCTCTGGGGACCCCCGGGACCCCCAAACCCTCCCCAAAATCCCTCAGGGGACCCCCGGGACCCTCCCTAAAACCCCCTCGGGACCCCCAAACCCTCCCCAAAATCCCCTGGAAACCCCCGGGACCCTCCCTAAAACCCCCTCGGGACCCCCAAACCTCCCCAAAATCCCTCTGGGGACCCCCGGGACCCCAAAATCCCCTCGGGACCCCCAAACCCTCCCCAAAACCCCCTCCCCAAAATCCCTCTGGGGACCCCCGGGACCTTTCCCAGGACCCCCGGGACCCCCAAATCCCTCCCCAAAATCCCCTGGAAACCCCCGGGACCCCCAAACCTTTCCCAAGACCCGTCTGGGGACCCCCCGGGACCCCAAATCCCTCCCCAAAATCCCTCTGGGGACCCCCAGGACCCCCCTCAGGACCCCCAGACCCTTCCAGGACCCCTCCCCAGGACCCCAGACCCTCCAAATCCTCCCCAGGGACCCCCCAAACCCTCCCCAGGACCCCCTCAGGACCCCCCAAACCCGAAGCTCCCAGAGCTCCAACTCCTCCTCAACCACCCCCAGCCCCCCCAGTTCAGTGTGGGACCCCCGAGACCCCTCCCCAGGGCCCCCCCCTCACCTCTCATTGAACTCGGGGTTCAGGGTCCGTTTCTGCACCCCCGTTTTGCGCTTGGTGGCGCGGCTGCGCTCGGGGAGCAGCGCCAGGGACACGTAGGGGTCGGGCAGGTCCTTGGAGGCCGCCCGCAGGTCCCTGGGGAGGTTTGGGGGTGCTCGGGGGGGACCCCAAAATTGGGGGGGGCTGGGGGGGTCCTGGGGATGTTTGGGGGGGCTGGGAGGTTTGGGGGTTCAGGGTTTGGGGTTCCTGGGGGGGTCCTGGGGATGTTGGGGGGGTCTGGGGAGGGCTTGGGGGTTCAGGGATTCAGGGTTTGGGGGTTCAGGGTTTGAGGGGGTTGAGGGTCCTGTGGAGGTTTGGGGGTGCTCGGGGGGGGACCCCAAAATTGGGGGAGGCTGGGGGGGTCCTGGGGATGTTTGGGGGGACTGGGGAGGTTTGGGGGTTCAGGGAAGGGTTTAGGGGTCAGGGTTTGGGGGTCCTCGGAAGTTTGGGGGGGTCTGGGGAAGGTTTGGGGGGGGCTGGGGAGGTTTGGGGGTTCAGGGTTTGGGGGTTCAGGGTTTGGGGGGTTTGAGGGTCCTGGGGAGGTTTGGGGGTGCTCGGGGGGGACCCCAAACTTGGGGGGGGCTGGGGGGTCCTGGGGATGCTTGGGGGGGCTGGGGAGGGCTTGGGGGTTCAGGGTTTGGGGGTCCTGGGGAGGGGTTGGGGATTCAGGGAAGGGTTTGGGGGTCAGGGTTTGGGGGTCCTGGGGATGTTTGGGGGGGCTGGGGAGGTTTGGGGGTTCAGGGTTTGGGGGTCCTGGGGAAGGTTTGGGGGTTCAGGGAAGGGTTTGGGGGTCCTGGGGATGTTTGGGGGGTCTGGGGAAGGTTTGGGGGGGCTGGGGAGGTTTGGGGGTTCAGGGTTTGGGATTCCTGGGGAAGGTTTGGGGGGTCCTCAGAGGGTTTTCGGGAGGGTTTGGGGGTTCAGAGTTTGGGAGGTTTGGGGGTCCTGGGGAAGGTCTGGGGGGTCCTCAGGGGGTTTTTGGGAGGGTTTTGGGGTCAGGGTTTGGGGTTCCTGGGGGTCCTCAGGGGGTTCTGGGGAGGTTTGGGGGGTCCTGGGGAGGGTTTGGGGGTTCAGAGTTTGGGGATTCTGGGGAAGGTTTGGGGGTTCAGGGTTCGGGGGTTCAGAGTTTGGGGGGTTTGGAGATTCTGGGGAAGGTTTGGGGGGTCCCCAGGGGGTTTTTGGGAGGGTTTTGGGGTCAGGGTTTGGGGTTCCTGGGGGTCCTGGGGAGGTTTGGGGGTTCAGAGTTTGGGGTTCCTGGGGAAGGTTTGGGGGGTCCTCAGGGGATTTTTGGGAGGGTTTGGGGTCAGGGTTTGGGGAGGTCTGGGGGTCCTCAGGGGGTCCTGGGGAGGTTTGGGGGTTCAGGGTTTGTGGGTTCGGGGTTTGGGGGTTCTGGGGATACCGGGGAGGTTTTGGGGAGGGTTTGGGGGGGGTCTGGATTTGGGGGGTCTGGGCTCTTCAGGGGGTCCTGGGGAGGTTTGGGGGTTCAGAGTTTGGGGGTTCAGGGTTTGGGAGTCCTGGGGGAGGGTTTGGGGTTTCGGGGTTTGGGGGGTCTGGGGGTGCTGGGGAGGGTTTGGGGGGGGGTCTGGGGGTCCCCAGAAGTTTTTGGGGAGGGTTTGGGGGTTGAGGATTTGGGGGGGTCTGGGGGTCCCGGGGTGATTTTGGGGGGATCTGGGGGGGTCTGGGCCTCACCTGCAGCTGTGCACGATGGCCACGAGGCGGCGCTGCTCGCGCTGGAACCGGAGCGAGAGCAGCACCCGGGGCCCCTGCGTGGGCTGGGGGCGCCTGGGGGGGCGGGAATTCGGGAATTTGGGGTGCGAGACCCCCCCGACCCCCCCAAAATCCATCCCTGCATCTCTGGGGGGTGTTGGGAATTCGGGAATTTGGGGTGCGAGACCCCCCCGAGCACCCCGAGCCCCTGCATCTCTGGGGGGGGGCGGGAATTCGGGAATTTGGGGTGCCAGACCCCCCCCCCCCCGCTTCTGAGCCCCCCAAAATCCCTCCCTGCATCTCTGGGGGTGTTGGGAATTTGGGAATTTGGGGTTGCAGCCCCCTCCCCATCCAGCACCCCAAAAGCCGCCCCTTAACCTTTGGGGTGGGTTGGAAATTTGGGAATTTGGGGGCTTTGAAATTCGGGAATTTGGGGTCTGGGGGTGTTGGAATTTGGGAATTTGGGGTCTGGGGGTGTTGAAATTTGGGAATTTTGGGGGGTTTGAAATTCGGAATTTGGGTCTGGGGGTGTTGGAATTTGGGAATTTTGGGGGTTTGAAATTCGGGAATTTGGGGTCTGGGGGTGTTGAAATTTGGGAATTTTGGGGGGTTTGAAATTCGGGAATTTGGGGGCTGGGGGTGTTGGAATTTGGGAATTTCGGGGTGCAGCCCCCCCCGTTCCCACCTGTCCGCCGGCACCAGGCGCTGGCGCAGCCCCCCCGCCCCTCGCTGCTCATCTTCCTCCCCCCTCGGCTCCTCCTCCTCCTCCTCCTCCTGGGGCCGCTCCGGGTCCCCCCCCTCGGGGCCTCTCCTGGCCGCCCCCCTCCTCAACCTCCAGCGGCACCAGCACCTGCGGGGGGGGCGGGGGTCAGGGGGACCCCCCGAGGGACCCCCACCCACCCCTGGGGACCCCCACCCACCCCGAGGGGACCCCCACCCACCCCTGGGGACCCTCACTCAGCCCCTGGGACCCTCACTCGCCTCAGAGGACCCCCACCCACCCCTGGGACCCCCCATTCATTCCAGGGACCCCCACCCACCCCTGGGACCTCACCCACCCCGAGAGACCCCCGAGGGACCCCCACCCACCCCTGGGGACCCCCACCCACCCCTGGGACCCCACCCACCCCTGGGACCCCCCCGAGGGACCCCCACTCATTCCGGAGGGGGGGCTTTGGGGTCGGGGGGGGACTCCCATCACCCCCCAACCCCTGGGTGACCCCGAGGGACCCCCACCCACCCTGGGGCCCTCCACTCATTATGGGGGGATGTGCTGGGGTCAGGGGGTCTTCCCTCGCCCCCCCAGCCCCTGGGGGACCCCCACCCACCCACCCCGGGGACCCCCACTCATTCCAGGGGACCCCGCCCCACCCCAGGGACCCCTCCCCATTCTTGGGGACCCCCCCGCACTCACCCCGAGCTGCGCCCTGAGCAGGATCCGCCCCCCCCCGGCCAGGGGCTCCCACCCGTCCGTGCAGAGCCCGGGCCGGGGCAGCAGCCGCGCCAGGGGCAGCGTCAGAGAGCCCAGGGCAGGCCCCGCCTCGGCCCGGACCTGCGGGGAGACCGGCCCGGTCTGAGGGAAACGGGCACAGACCCCGCCCCAATTCCGGAGAACCGGGCAGAGACCCCGGCCCAATCCGGGAGAAACGGGCAGAGACCCCGGCCCGGTCTGAGGGAAACGGGCAGAGACCCCGGCCCAATCCGGGAGAAACGGGCAGAGACCCCGCCCCCAATCCGGGAGAAACGGGCAGAGACCCCGGCCCGGCCTGAGGGAACCATCAGAGACCCCGGCCCGGCCTGAGGGAAATGGGCAGAGACCCCGGCCCGGTCTGAGGGAACCGAGCAGAGACCCCTCCCCAATTTGAGAGAACCGAGCAGAGACCCCGCCCCAATTTGAGAGAACACCAGTGTTGAGAGACCCCTCCCCAGTTTGGGAGAACCGATCAGAGACCCCTCCCAATTCGAGAGAACCATCAGAGACCCCGCCCCAATCCGGGAGAACTGATCAGAGACCCTTCCCCAACCCTCTGTGAGATCTCCCCCTCTTTTTGTGAGGAACCCAGCACTGAGACCCCCCCCCAAACAGGGAGATTCCCCCCCCCTCTCCTCTCTATGAGACCCCCTGGTGAGACCCCCCCCTCATTTTATGAGAACCCCAGTGATGAGACCCCTCCCCAATCAATGAGACCCCCCCCAATTCGTGAGACCCCCCTCACTTTGTGAGAACCCCAGCCATGAGATCCCTCCCCTATCAGTGAGACCCCTCCCCAATCCATGAGACCCCCCAATCCATGGGACCCTCCCCAGTCCATGGGACCCCCCCCCCAATTCATGCCCCTGCCCCACCTGCAGCTCCAGGGTCTCCAGGTGCGGGCGCCTGATGAGGAAGGAGAAGCCTTCATCCCACACGGGCTCCGTGCAGGGGGGGCAGCTCTGGGGACGGGGAGGGGGGATTGAGGAGCTGAGAGACCCAGGACCCCCCCCCAAACCCCCCAAACCCCCCCGAGCCCCCCAAAGCCCCCAACCCCACCTTGGTTTTGAAGGAGGCGTCGCCCACGGCCAGGCTGGCAAAGGCTGAGGGGGGCTGGGAGCCCTTCAGGAGCTGGGGGGGACATTTGGGGACATTTTGTGGACATTTGGGGACATCTGGGGATATGTTGGGGTCATTTGGGGACATTTTGGGACATTTTGGGGACATCTGGGGACATTCAGGGACATTTGGAGTAGTTTTGGGGATGTTTTGGGGACATTTGGGGGACATTTGGGGACATTTTGGGTCATCTGGGGACATTTTGGAGAGATTTTGCCGAGATTCAGGGACATTTCGGGCCATTTTGGGGACATCTGGGGTCATTTCGGGCCATTTTGGGGCATTTAGGGGCCATTTGGGAGCCATTTGGGGGCCATTTTGGCTCCATTTGAGCCGTTTGGATCAATTTTGGGGCCATTTTGGAGCCATTTTCAGGTCATCTGGGGCCGTTTGGGGCCATTTGGGGCCATTTGGAGCCATTCTGGTGCCATTTTGGGCCATTTTGGCTCCATTTGGATCAATTTTGGGGCCATTTGGATCAATTTTGGGGCCATTTTGGGCCATTTTGTGTCTCCCTCACCGGCAGATCGCGGCTCTGTCAGGTACACGCGGAGCAGCGCGGCCGAGAGCTCCGGGCCGTGCTGGGGCTGCAGGAGGGCGTTGGTGTGCAGGACCTGGGGGGGCAAAGGGTGGACGGGGGTCGCACCGGGGTGGGCAGGGCCCGTACCGGGGTGGGCGGGGCCCGTACAGGGGTGGGCGGGACTCGTACAGGGGTGGGCGAGGCTCATATGGGGTGGGCGGGGCTCATACAGGGGTGGGCGGGGGCTCATACAGGGGTGGGCGGGGGTCGCACTGGGGTGGGCGGGGCCCGTACCGGGGTGGGCGGGGCTCGTAGTGGGGTGGGCGGGGCTCGTACGAGGTGGGGCGAGGGTCGCACTGGGGTGGGTGGGGTCCCCAGGAGGGCGGGGATTGGGGAGAGGAAGGGGGGAAATGGGATAGGGTGGGTTTGGGGTCTGTGGGAGGGGATTTGGGGTCCATGGGGAGGGGGTTTGGGGTCGGTGGGTCTGGGGGTCTGTAGGATGGGTCTGGGGTCCATATGGTGGGTTTGGGGTTTTTTGGGGATGGGGTTTGGGGTCTCTGGGATGGGTCTGAGGTCTTTGGAATGGGTCTGGAGTCCCTGGTTGGGTCTGGGGTCTCTGGGATGGGTCTGGGGTCTCTGGGATGGGTCTGGGGTCCCCGGTTTGGGTCTGGGGTCCGTACCCTGTCCAGCAGCTCAGGGCTGGGCTGCAGCTCCAGGTTCTGGGGTCCATGGGTGTGGGTTTGGGGTCGGTGGGTTTGGGGTTTTTGGGGATGGGGTTTGGGGTCTGTAGGATGGATTTGGGGTGTCTGGGGTGAGTCTGGGGTCCCCGGTTTGGGTCTGGGGTCCCTGGTTTGGGTCTGGGGTCCCCGATTTGGGTCTGGGGTCCGCACCCTGTCCAGCAGCTCGGGGCTGGGCCGTGGCTCGAGGCTCTCCAGGCGCACGTGGAGCCGCCCCGAGCGAACGTCCTGGAGGGGCAGCCACTGCGGGGGTGGGAAATGAGACCCCCCCTCAATTCCTGAGACCCCCCCTCACTCCGTGAGACCCCCCCTCAGTCCCTGAGACCCCCCCATATCGCTGAGAGAGACCCCAATCCATAAGACCCCCCCTCAATCCCTGAGACCCCCCCCCCCATATCAGTGAGACGCCCCCTCCTCAATCCGAGACCCCTCCTCAATCCGTGGAACACCCCAGCAGTGAGACCCCTCCTCACTTTGTGAGACCCCCACTCACTCTGTGAGACCCCCCCCTCAATCCCTGAGACCCCTCCTCACTTTGTGAGACCCCCATTCACTCTGTGAGACCCCCCCCTCATTCCCTGAGACCCCTCCTCACTTTGTGACCCCCCCCCCCCAAACCCATGAGACTCCCCCTCTTGAGACCCCTCCCCACTTTGTGAGACCCCCCCTCAATCATTCAGACCCCCCCCCCTTGATAAGTCCCCTCCAGGTGAGACCCCCCCCCCCAGCCCCTTCCCCACCTCATCCACGACGCGGCTGCTCAGGACCCTCCTGAGGGGCACCTTGCACCTGGGGGGGGGGCACGGGGTGAGACCCCCCCCCAAAAAAACACCCCCAAAACCCCCCGAAAACCCCAAAAAACCCCAAAACCCCCTGAAAATACCCAAAACCCCCAAACCCCAGAAAATCCCCAAAACCCCCAAAAATTCCCCCCAAATCCCCTCCAGATCTCCCCCAAATTTCCCCAAATCCCCTCCAGAACCCCCAGAAATCCCCCAAAATCCACTCTAGATCCCCCCAAAATCCCCTCGAGACCCCCCCCCAAAATCCCCTCGAGACCCCCCAAATCCCCTCCTGACCCCCATTAAATTCCCTATAAATCCCTCCAGACCCCCCAAAATCCCCTCGAGACCCCCCAAATCCCCCCCAAATCCCCTCCAGACTCCCATAAATTCCCCCAAATCCCCTCCAGAAACCCCCATAAATCCCCCCCTAAATCCCCTCCAGACCCCCCAGAAATTCCCCCAAATCCCTCCAGACCCTCCATAAATTCCCCCAAATCCCTTCCAGACCCCCAGGAATTCCCCCAAATCCACTCTAGATCCCCCAAAATTCCCCCAAATCCCCTCTGGACCCCCCAAAATCCCCCCCATTTTCCCACCTGCCCAGGAAATCGTCCTTGTCGATGTCTTTGTCGAAGAGGTCGAACTCCACGTCCTGCCCTGGGACATCGTCCACGATCACCTGGGGGCAACAGAATCCAAAATCCTTGATCATCATTGGCCCATGTTCTTCTTGTGCCTCAGTTTCCTGTTCCAGAACCACCCCTGTGCCTCAGTTTCCCTTTTCCCCCGTTTCCTGTGCTGTGCCTCAGTTTCCTTTCTTGTGCCTCAGTTCCCCCTCTCCATGCCTCAGTTTCCCCGTGCCTCAGTTTCCCCAGTGCCGTGCCTCAGTTCCCCCCCCGGTGCTGTGCCTCAGTTTCCCCTCAGTTTCCCCGTGCCTCAGTTTCCCGTGCCTCAGTTTCCCCTCAGTTTCCCGTGCCTCAGTTTCCCTCAGTTTCCCTCAGTTCCCGTGCCTCAGTTCCCTCAGTTTCCCTCAGTTTTCCCTCAGTTTCCCGGTGCCTCAGTTTCCCCTCAGTTTCCCTCAGTTTCCTGTGCCTCAGTTTCCCGTGCCTCAGTTTTCCCTCAGTGTCCCCTCAGTTTCCGTGCCTCAGTTTCCCGTGCCTCAGTTTCCCAGTGCCGTGCCTCAGTTCCCCCCCCCGGTGCTGTGCCTCAGTTTCCCCTCAGTTTCCCGTGCCTCAGTTTCCCCTCAGTTTCCGTGCCTCAGTTTCCCCTCAGTTTCCCTCAGTTTCCCCTCAGTTTCCCGTGCCTCAGTTTCCCTCATTTTCCCGTGCCTCAGTTTCCCCTCAGTTTCCCTCAGTTCCCCTCATTTTCCCGTGCCTCAGTTCCCCTCAGTTTCCCTCAGTTCCCCTCAGTTCCCCGTGCCTCAGTTCCCCTCAGTTTCCCGTGCCTCAGTTTCCCTCAGTTCCCCTCAGTTTCCCTCAGTTCCCCTCATTTTCCCGTGCCTCAGTTTACCTCGTAGCTCTCGTTCCAGCGCGGGTTCAGCTCCTCTCGCACCACGCGGCTCCGGAAGCGGCTCCCGCCCGCGCGGGTCTCGGCGTAGGGGTCGGAGCGGCCCGCACGAGGCCCCCGAGCCGCTGGTCCTTGGCCACGAGGTCCGCGGCCTCCAGGAGCTGCACCCGCAGCACCCGCTGGGCACCGGGGAGAACGGGAACTGACCGACGGACCGGACAGACCCACGGACACCCCGAACCCCCCCCCCCCGGGACCCCCCGAGCCGCTGGTCCTCGGCCACGAGATCCGCGGCCTGCAGGAGCTACACCGGGAACACACCGGGAACACGCCGGGAACACCGGAGGTGAGGGACCGACGGACCGGACAGACACACGGACAGCCCCGGAACCACCGGACACCCCCTGCCCCGGACAGCCCCGGACAGCCCTGAGCCCCCCCCCCGGGACCACCGGGACACCGGGAGCTGCGCGGGGGGACCGAGGGACGGGACAGACCCACGGACAGCCCCGGGAGCACCGGGACCCCCCCCAAGACCCCCGCAAGAGCTCCCCAGGACCCCCCCTCCCAAAGATCCCTGACTCTCCAGGACCCCCCGAGACACCCCAGGACCTCCCAGAACCACCCCAAGACTCCCTCAGGATCCCCCTCAGGATCCCCCAGGACCCCCCAAGACCCCTCCAGGACCCCCCCAGGACCCCCTCAGGACCCCCCCAAGACTCCCCAGGACCCCCCCGACCGCCCAGAAACCCCCAGGACCCCCCCAAGACTCCCCAGGACCCCCTCACGACCACCCAAGACCCTCCCAGGACCTTTCAGGACCCCATCCCAAAATCCCTGACCCCCATCCTGACTGCCAGAACCCCCCCCCAGGACCCCCTCAGGACCCCCCAGGATCCCCATAACCCCCGCAGGACCCCCCCAGGACCCCCATAACCCCCGCAGGATCCCCCCAAGACCCCTCCCCATAACCCCCCAGGCCCCCCCAGGATCCCCCCCATAACCCCCGCAGGACCCCCCAAGACCCCTCCCCATAACCCTCCCAGGACCCCCCAAGACCCCCCACAGAACCCCCCCAAGACCCCTCCCCATAACCCCCCAAGACCCCCCCCCCATAACCCCCGCAGGATCCCCCAGGACCCCCCAGGCCCCCCCCAGGACCCCCATATCCCCCCAGGGACCCCCCAGGACCCCTCCCCATATCCCCTCAGGACCCCCAGGAGCCCCAGAAACCCCCCCAGAACCCTCAAGATCCCCCCATAACCCCCCCCAGGACCCCCCCAAGATCCCCCCCATAACCCCCCAGGACCCCCGTAACCCCTCAGGACACCCCAAGACCCCCCCATAACCCCCCCAGGACCCCCATAACCCCCCCAGGACCCCCATAACCCCCCAAGACCCCCCCCCCATAACCCCCAGGACACCCCAAGATCCCCCCCCATAACCCCCCCAGGACCCCATAACCCCCCCAAGACCCCTCCCCAAGACCCCCCAGGCCCCCTCCCCACCTCGCTGCCGGCGCGGGGGTCGGGCCCGGCCCGGCTCGGTCTCCGGGGGGGTCCCTCGGTGTCACCTTTGGGGGGCTCCGCCTGTGCCGGGGTGGCCGCGCCGGGCTCGGGGGGCTCCGGGAACAGCACCTGGAGATGGGGGGGTGTCAGAGGGACCCCCAAAAAACCCCCCGGGACCCTCCCGGAGCCCCCTCCTCACCCGGAGCTCCAGCTGGAGGTGCAGGAGCGCCCCCGGCCCCGAGCGCTGCAGCGGGAAGGGCTCGGCCAGCGACAGCGACGGCGACTCCAGGAGTCGCGACAGAGGCAGCGACAGAGAGCCCAGGGGGGACTGGCGGGGGTCGTCCTTCACCTGAGGGGACAGCGGGGACGTTTGGGGGCAGATTTGGGGGGGATATTGAGGGGGGGGATATGGGAGGAGTGAGGGGGGAATGGGGGGAAAAAGGGGAAAAAAGGTGGGGAAAAAAGGGGGGAAGGAGGGGCGAGAAAAGGGGGGGAAAAGGGGGGAAATAGGATTAAAATGGGGGAGAAAGGGGAGGGAAAGGGAGGAAAAGGGAAAAAGGGGGGGAAGAGGAGGGGAAAAAGGGGGGGAAATAGGGGGGGGAAAGGGGGAAAATGGGGGTGAAAAAGGGGAAAATGAGAGAAAAAAGGCAGGGAAGAGAGGGGGAAATGGGGGGAAAAAGGGGAAAATGAGAGAAAAAAGGCGGGGAAGAGAGGGGAAATGGGGGGAAAAGGGGAAAAAAGGGAGGGGAAGATATGGGGAAAAAAGGGGGAATATGGGGGCATTTGGGGAGAAACAGAGCCGGGATTTTGGGGGGATTTTGGGGGATTTGGGGGCACACAGAGCCGAGGTTTTGGGGGGACACAGAGCCGGGGTTTTTGGGGGATTTTGGGGGCACACAGAGCCAGGTTTTGGGGGATTTTGGGGGCACACAGAGCCGGGATTTTGGGGATTTGGGGCACACAGAGCCGGGAATTTGGGGGCACACAGAGCGGGTTTTGGGGGGATTTGGGGGCACACAGAGCCGGGTTTTGGGGGCATTTGGGGGCACACAGAGCCGGGTTTTGGGGGATTTGGGGGCACACAGAGCCGGGGTTTTGGGGGGATTTGGGGGCAAACAGAGCCAGGATTTTGGGGGGACACAGAGCCGGAATTTTGGGGGATTGGGGGCAAACAGAGCCGGGTTTGGGGGGATTTGGGGGCACACAGAGCCAGGTTTTGGGGGGATTTGGGGGGATTTGGGGGCAAACAGAGCTGGGTTTTGGGGGGATTTGGGGGGCACACAGAGCTGGGTTTTGGGGGCACACAGAGCCGGGTTTTTTGGGGGATTTTGGGGGCACACAGAGCCGGGTTTTGGGGGGATTTGGGGGCACACAGAGCCGGGATTTTGGGGGGGATTTGGGGGCAGACAGAGCTGGGTTTTGGGGGGAATTTGGGGGCACACAGAGCCGGATTTTGGGGGATTTGGGGGGCACACAGAGCCGGGATTTTTGGGGTCCCACCTGGAAATCCACGTCCTGGTTGCGGGGGTCGTGCAGGAAGAAGCGGAAGGCGTCCTCCCACACGGGGGCTGAGGTGTTGCAGACCACCTTAGGGAGGGTGGGGGGGCTCAGGTCAGACCCCCAAAAACGCCCCAAAAAACCCCCCAAAACCCCCAAAAATCCCCCCAGACCCTTCCCACCTTGCTCTCCCTGGTGACGTCCTGCACCGACACCTGCACCACGGGGTTGGGCTCCTTGCCTGCTTTCCTTACCTGCACCAAAAAACGGGGGGTCAAGGGGGGGTCCCACACTTCTGACCCCCTTTGGGACCCCCCTAAACCCCCTCTAAACCCCCCAGACTCACGGGCAGCCCCTCAGCCCTGTCCAGATACACCACGAGGGATGGCGGAGGAGGGCGGGTCAGGCTTGGCCACGATTTTTTGGTTCTTTTCCAAAACCTGGGGGAGGCCAAAAATTTTGGGGAGGGGTCTGATAAGGCAGGACCCCCCCCCTTCCAACACAGCTGAACCCCAAAATTGTCCCGGGACTGACCTGGTCCAGCTTGGAGGCGTCGGAGAGCAGCGAGAGCCACTCCAGGCGCAGGTGGAGCCGGCCCTGCCCGCCCTCCTGCAGCGGGAACCACTTGGGGGAAAATGGGGAAAAATTGGAAAAATGGGGAAAAATGGGGAAAAGGGGAAAGGGGGAAAATGGGAAAAATGGGGAAAATGGGAAAATGGGGGAAAAGGGGGAAAGGGGGAAAATGGGGAAAATGGGAAAATGGGGAAAAAAGGGGAAAATGGGGGAAAGGGGGAAAAGGGGAAAAGGGGGAAAATGGGGAAAGGGGGAAAATGGGGAAAAGGGGAAAATGGGGGGAAATGGGGGAAAATGGGGAAAATGGGAAAAAGGGGAAAAGGGGAAAAAGGGGGAAGGGGAAAAAAGGGGGAAAAAGGGGAAAAATGGGGAAAATGGGAAAAATAGGGAAAATGGGGAAAGGGGAAAAATGGGGAAAGGGGGAAAAGGGGAAAATGGGGGAAAATGGGAAAAGGGGGAAAGGGGAAAAAGGGGGAAAAATGAGGAAAAAGGGGAAAAGGGGGGAAAAGGGGGAAAGGGGGAAAAGGGGAAAAAAGGGGAAAAAATGGGGAGGGGGTGTCAGCGTGACCCCCCCGAACCCCAAAACCCCCCCAGACCCTCCCAAACCCCAAATCCTCAGATCCCCAAATCCCCAAATTCCCAAATCTCCAAATCCCCAAATCCCCAAATTCCCAAATCCCCAAATTCCCAAATCCTCAAATCTCCAAATCCCCAAATCCCAAATCCTCAAATCCCCAAATCCTCAAATCCCCAAACTCCAAATCCCCAAAATCTCCAAATTCCCAAATCCCAAAATCCCCAAACCCCAAATCCCTAAATCCCCAAAAATTCCCAAATCCTCAAATCCCCAAATTTCCAAATCCCCAAATCCCCAAAAATTCCCAAATCCGCCAGAACTCACCTCGTCCATCACCCGAGCTCTGAGCACCTCCCCGAGGTCCAGCTTCATCCTGGGGAGGGGGGAAATTTGGGAATATTTGGGGATTTTTTGGGGATTTGGGGATTTTTGAGGATTTGGGGGTATGGGAATTTGGGGATTTAGGAATTTGGGGGTTTGGGGATTTGGGGGTTTGGGGATTTGGGGATTTTGGGGTTTGGGAATTTGGGGATTTTGGGGGATTGGGGATTTTTTGGGGATTTGGGGATTTGGAGATTTGGGAATTTTTGGAAATTTGGGGGTTTGGGGATTTCGGGATTTGAGGATTAGGGATTTGGGGATTTAGGATTTTGGGGATTTGGGGGTTTGGGAATTTGGGGATTTAGGAATTTGGGGATTTTGGGGGATTTTGGGGGTTTGGGGGTTTGGGGGGAGAGGTTGGAGACCCCTCCCCAAATTTGGGGGTGCCCCCCTCACCTGCCCAGCAGATCGTCCTTGTCGGGGTCCTTGTCGAAGAGCTCCACCTCCAGCTCCTGCCCGGGCACCTCGTGCACCATGAACTGGGGGGGACAGCGGGGATGGGGGGGGTCCCGTGTGCCCTGGGGCGTCCCCGTGTCCCCAAAATCTCCCTGGGGACCAGGCGGGGCCCCCGTGTCCGTCCCTCTGTCCCTCTGTCCATCCCTGCCATCCATCCCTTTGTCCGTCCCTGGTGTCCGTCCCTCCATCCATTCCTCTGTCCCTCTGTCCCTCTGTCCGTCCCTTTGTCCATCCCTGGTGTCCGTCCCTCCGTCCATCCCTCTGTCCCTCTGTCCATCCCTGCCATCCATCCCTTTGTCCGTCCCTGGTGTCCGTCCCTCCATCCCCATTGTCTGTCCCTCCGTCCATCCCTCTGTCCCTCTGTCCATCCTTCTGTCTGTCCCTCTGTCCGTCCCCAGTGTCCATCCATCCATCCCTGGTGTCCGTTCCTCCATCCCCATTGTCCGTCCCTCCGTCCATACCCTCTGTCCCTCTGTCCATCCCTCTGTCCCTCTGTCCATTCCTCTGTCCCTCTGTCCATCCCTCCATCCCTCTGTCTGTCCCTCTGTCCGTCCCCAGTGTCCATCCATCCCTCTGTTCATCCATCCCTCTGTCCATCCCTGGTGTCCATCCCTCCATCTCCGCCGCCCATCCCCAATGTCCATCCCTCTGTCCATCCATCCCTGCTGGTGGCCGCCTGTGTCCCTCCCTGTGTCCCTCTGTCTGTCCATCCCTGTTCCCCCTGTCCCCCTGTCCATCCCCTGTGTCCCCCTGTCCCCCTGTCCATCCCTGTGTCCATCTATCCATCCCTGTGTCCGTCTGTCCCTCTCACCTCGTACATCTCGTCCCACACGGGGTCCAGGCTGTCCCCGATGACCCTGCTGGTCACCGCCTGTGTCCCTCCCTGTGTCTGTGTGTCCCTCTGTCCATCCCTGTGTCCGTCTGTCCATCCCCGTGTCCGTCTGTCCCCCTCACCTCGTACATCGTCCCACACGGGGTCCAGGCTGTCCCCGATGACCCTGCTGGTGGCCGCCTGTGTCCCCACCCTGAGCAGCGCGTACGGGTCCGAGCGGCCCTGGACGAGCCCGCCCAGGAACCGATCCTTGGAGCGCAGCGCCCGCCGCGGCCACCAGCGACACCCGCACCACGCCCTGGGGACAATGGGGACACCGAGGGGACAGCAGGGTCACCATGGGGACAGCAGGGTCACCAGAGACACCCGCACCACGCCCTGGGGACACCGAGGGGGACAGCAGGGTCACCATGGGGACACACGGGCACCAGAGACACCCGCACCACGCCCTGGGGACACCGAGGGGACAGTGAGGGGACAATGGGGACAGCAGGGTCACCAGGGACACCCGCACCACGCCCTGGGACAATGGGGACACCGAGGGGACAGCAGGGTCACCATGGGGACAGCAGGGTCACCAGAGACACCCGCACCATGCCCTGGGGACACCGAGGGGACAATGGGGACACAGGGGTACCAGCGACACCCGCACCACGCCCTGGGGACAATGGGGACACCGAGGGGACAGCAGGGTCACCATGGGGACAACAGGGTCACCAGCGACACCCGCACCACGCCCTGGGGACAATGGGGACAGTGAGGGACAGCAGGGTCACCATGGGACACACGGTCACCAGGGACACCCACAGCAGGTCCTGGGGACACCGAGGGGACACCGGGGTCAGGGGGGGTCACTTGAGGGGGACACGAGCCCTGGGACAGGCAGTGACAGCGAGAAATGGAGGTGGAGGGAGGAAAGGGAAGGGAGGGGAAAGGAGGGAAAGGGAAAGGAGGGAAAGGGGTGGAAAGAATGGAGGGGAAGGGGAAAATGGGAAGAAAAAAAGGGGAAAAGGAGAAGAAAAAAAGGGGAAAATGAGAAGAAAAAAAAAGGGGAAAAGGAGAGGGAAAAGGGGAAAGGGGAAAAGGAGGGAAAATGGGGGGGTCAGAAAGTGATAATGGGAGAGGGTCAGAGGGTAAAATGGGGGGGTCAGAAGGGGGAAATGGGGAGGGTCAGAAAGGGAAAATGGGGAGGGGGGTTAAAGGGTGAAATTTGGGGGAGTCAGAAGGGGGAAATGGGGGTGTCCAAAGGAGAAAATGGCAGAGATCAGGGAGGGAAAATTGAGGGGGTCAGAAAGAGAAAACGGAGGGGTCAGAAGGAGAAAAATGGAGAGGGTGAGAAGGGAAAAATGGAGAGGGTGAGGAAATGAAAATGGGGGGGTCCTAGAGATAAAACGGGGGTGTCACAACCCTCCCAGCCCCCTCCCCATCCCCTCACCCTGGGCAGGGGCCAGCGCAGCCTCGGGGGGTGTCGGAAGGGAAAAAATGGAAGAGGGTCAGAAAGGGAAAATGGGGGGGGTTAAAAGGGTGAAATTTGGGGGAGTCAGAAGGGGGAAATGGGGGTGTCCAAAGGGGAAGACGGCAGAGATCAGGGAGGGAAAATTGAGGGGGTCAGAATGGGAAAACGGAGGGGCCAGAAAGGTAAAATGGAGGGGTCAGAAGGAGAAAATGGAGAGGGTCAGAAAATGAAAATGGGGGGGTCTTAAAGGTAAAATGGGGGGGGGTCCTAAAGATAAAACAGGGGTGTCACGACCCCCCCGAACCCCTCCCCAGCCCCTCACCCTGGCAGGGGCCAGCGCAGCCTCGGGGGGGTCAGAAGGGAAAAAATGGAGAGGGTGAGAAAATGAAAATGGGAAGGGTTAAAAGGGTGAAATTTGGGGGAATCAGAAGGGGGAAATGGGGGTGTCCAAAGGGGAAAACAGCAGAGATCAGGGAGGGAAAATTGAGGGGGTCAGAATGGGAAAACGGAGGGGCCAGAAAGGTAAAATGGAGGGGTCAGAAGGAGAAAATGGAGAGGGTGAGGAAATGAAAATGGGGGGGTCCAAAAGGTAAAACAGGGGGGGTCCTAAAGACAAAACGGGGGTGTCCCGACCCCCCCGGCCCCCCCCCCAGCCCCTCACCCTGGGCAGGGGCCAGCGCAGCCGCGCAGCCTCGGGCAGGTCGGGCAGCAGCGGCACCAGGAGCCGGTTGGGCAGCACCAGGTAGGAGGCGATGCTGTCCATGATCATCGAGTCCGACATGGAGCTGGGGATGGGGGGGGACACAAACACGGTTGGGGGGGGCACGCGGTCAGGGGGGGTCCCCAGAGGGTCCCCAAAAAGCGGGGGGGGCTCACCTGAGCCCCGGGATGTCCAGCAGGTTGGTCATTCCTGTCCAGTTGATGTCCAGCGTCTGCAATGTGGGGGGGGTAACAGAGGGAGGGGCACTCCTGGTGGTCTTTATTTGGGGGGGGGGGGGGGGGGGGGGGTCTGGGGTCCTTTTTGTTGGGGGGGGTATCACCGATGTGTATTGGGAGGGGTTCTGTTCCTTTTTTTGGGGGGGGGGGCATCACCCCCGAGGTGTCCTGGAGGGGTCTGGGGTCCTTTTTTTGGGGTGGGGGACACTCCCGCTGTGTCCTGGGGGTTCCCATTCCTTTATTCCCGTGGGGGGGTTCCCATTCCCTTTTTCCTGTGGGAGAGGGGTTCCTGTTCCCTTTTTCTATTGGGGGGGTTCCCATTCTCTTTTTTCCATTGGGGGTTCCCATTCCCTTTATTCCATGGTGGGGGGGGTCCCGTTCCCTTTATTCCATTGGGGGGGTTTCCCATTCCTTTTTTCCATTGGGGGGGGTGTTCCCATTCCCTTTATTCCATTGGGGGGGTTCCCATTCCCTTTATTCCATTGGGGGGGGTTCCCGTTCCCTTTTTTCCATGTTCCCATTCCCTTTTCCCATGGTGGGGGGGGTTCCCATTCCCTTTTTTCCATGGGGGGGTTCCCGTTCCCTTTATTCCATGGCGAGGTTCCCATTCCCTTTTTTCCATGTTCCCGTTCCCTTCATTCCATAGGGGGGTTGGGGGGGTTCCCATTCCCTTTATTCCATGGGGGGGGGGTTCCCATTCCCTTTTTCCTGTGGTGGGGGGGTTCCCATTCCCTTTTTCCCATGTTCCCATTCCCTTTATTCCATGTTCCCATTCCCTTTTCCCCACGTTCCCATTCCCTTTTCCCCTTGGTGGGGGTTCCCATTCCCTTTATTCCATGTTCCCATTCCTTTTTTCCACGTTCCCATTCCCTTTTTCCATGTTCCCATTCCCTTTATTCCATGTTCCCATTCCCTTTTCCCCACGTTCCCATTCCCTTTTCCCCACATTCCCATTCCCTTTTTCCCATGTTCCATTCCCTTTATTCCATGTTCCCATTCCCTTTTCCCCACGTTCCCATTCCCTTTATTCCAACGTTCCCATCCCTTTATTCCCGTTGGGGTCTCACCGGGCGGCGGATGAAGAACAGGCTGAGCGCCCCCACGATGGGCGCATCCCCCAGCAGCGGCTCCAGGATGATCCTGAGCACCCCATGGAGCTGGGGGGGGTCCACAATGAGCCGGGACCCCCCCCTCAAACCCACCCCCACCCCAAAAATCCCCCCCCTCATCTCCCCAAAACCTCACCTGCATCCCCTTCACCCCCGCCTTGCAGAAGAATTTCTTCACCTCCACGTCGATCTGGACGTCGCCCACGTAGCTGGGGGGGCACAAATTGGGGTGGGGGCGTCACCACGACCCCTCCCCACCCACCCCAGACCCCTCCCCATCTCGGGGACCCCTCCCCAGGTGTCTCACCTGATGTTGAGGTCCAGCAGGATTTGCTTCTTGTGGGTTCCAGGGTGGGCTTGGACGCCCAGGACACGGAGGGGCTGTGGGAGGGGGGGAATTTGGGATTTTTTTGGGGGGGGGGGGGTCTCGGTATTTGGGGGGGGGGGGGGTCAGGGGATTTAGGGGGTCCTGGTGGGGGGGCGGGGTTTAGAGGGGGTCTGGGGGTGTTTAGGGGTTCCTAGGGGTCTTTAGGGGGGATTTAGGGGGGTTCTGGGAGGGCTTTAGGGGGAGGTTAGGGCGTCCTGGGGGGGTTTAGGGGGTCCTGGGAGGGGTTTAGGGGGATTTAGGGGGGGTCTGGGGGGATTTATGGGGTCCTGGGAGGGGTTTAGGGGGTCCTGGAAGAGGTTTGGGGGGGATTTAGGGGGTCCTGGGGGGTCTGGGACAATTTAGGGGGTCATGGGGGGACTTTAGGGGGGGTTCTGGGAGGGGTTAGGGGGTTCTGGGAGGGCTTTAGGGGAGATTTTAGGGGGTTCTGGGGGCGGCTTTAGGGGGATTTTGGGGGTCCTGGGAGGGGTTTAGGGGAGATTTAGGGGGTCCTGGGGGGTTTGGGGCATCCTGGCAGGGGTTATAGGGGATTTAGGGGTTCCTGGCGGGGTCTGGGGGGATTTAGGGGGGCTTATGTGGGTCCTAGGCGGGTATGGGAGGGGTTTTGAGGTGATTTTGGGGGGGTCCCTGGGGGGGTCAATGGCACAGGGGGGTCCCCCCAGTGTCACCTTCTGTCCCAGGTCCACCCTGGTGAAGGTGAAGCTCTGCAGGTGAGCGCTGGAGGCGCGGATGGCCGGGGCCACCGAGTCCTGCAGGAGCTTCTCGAGATACCGGCCCAGGAAGGGCCAGGCCTGGGCCAGGACCTGCCAGACACACGGACAGATGGACAGATGGACACCGGGATGGACACACGGACACCGGGATGGACACACGGACATGGACACACGGACACCAGGACAAGGCCATGCAGGAGCTTCTTGAGATACCGGCCCAGGAAGGGCCAGGCCTGGGCCAGGACCTGCCGGACACACGGACAGATGGACACCGTCATGGATACACGGACACACGGACACGGGGATGGACAGATGGACAATGGCATGGGGTCACACTGTCCTGCAGGAGCTTGTCCAGGAACTGCCCCAGGAACGGCCAGGCCTGGGCCAGGACCTGCCGGACACACGGACACGGGGATGGACACAGGGACACCAGCATGGACATGGGGATGGACAGATGGACAATGGCACGGGGTCATGCTGTCCTGCAGGAGCTTCTCGAGATACCAGCCCAGGAAGGGCCAGGCCTGGGCCAGGAGCTGCCGGACACACGGACGCGGGGATGGACACACGGACATCGGCATGGACACACAGACACACAGACACGGGGATGGACAGATGGACAATGGCACGGGGTCACGCTGTCCTGCAGGAGCTTCTCCAGGAACTGCCCCAGGCCTGGGCCAGGAGCTGCCGGACACACGGACACACAGACATGGGGATGGACAGATGGACACAGGCACGGGGGATGGACATGGACAGACGGACACGGGGGATGGACACTGGGAAAGGAGACGGGCACTGGAAGTGGAAGGATGGACACTGGGGATGGAGGGATGGACAGAGGCAGGGATGGACAGATGGATGCAGAGAGGGAGGGAGGGAAAGAGGCCGGGAGGGAGGGAAGGATGCGGGAGGGAGGGACAGAAGAGGGAAGGAGGAGGAGGGAGGGAGGGAGGGATGGAAAGAGGGAGGGAGGGAGGAGGGAAGGATGCGGGAGGGAGGAGGGATGGAAGGAGGGACGGAGGGACGCAGGAGGGACAGGGGGATACGGGAGGGATGGAGGGAGGGACGCGGGAGGCGGCGCGGGCCGGACACACGGACACACGGACAGACAGACACAGGGACACACGGACACAGGGACACACGGACACATGGACACACGGACACACGGACACAGGGACACACGGACACACGGACGCCTCACCTTGTTGAGCCATTCCGCCCGCTCCACATCCGGGAAGCTGACCTGGGTGGGGGGGGGGGGGACATGGAGGGGGGGCCCTGAGCCCGGCGGGGACCACCGGGGACACCGGGCCCCTCCCGGCCCCGTGCCTCAGTTTCCCCCGAGCTCCCGCTCAGCACCCAGCACCTCCCCAAAAGGGGGGTCCCGGTGTGGGGGGTGCGGACCCCTCCCGGCCCGCGGGGAGGGCAGGAAACGGCCCCCCCGGGCCCGGTGAGTCACGGCACTGCCGGAAGGCCCGGGCGGTACCGGGGCTGTCCCGGGCAGCGGAGCGCGGGGACCCCGCCCTGGGGCGGCCACCGGGGGATGGCGGATGGGGGGGGGGGGGGTCCCGGTGATCCCGGGGGGTCCCGCACGGCCGCGAGCTCCGAGCAGGGCTCGGTGCGGTCCCGCCCCACCGGGAAAGCCAAGGAGCGGCTGGGGAGCAGCACCGGGGGGACCGGGAGATGCCCGGGGGGCTCTGGGGGTGCAGAGAGAAGGGACCGGGAGCGGGAGCGGTGCGGGATGCGCGGCACCGCCCGGGGGTCCCAGCGGGGACCGTGCGGTGCCGCGGGGTCCCCCGTGCTGGGACAGCTCCGGCGGGGCCCGGGGCGGCTGCCGGGGGTCCCGGGGGGTGCGCGGGGCTGGGGAGGGTCCCCAGGTGCGCCAAGCGTGACCCAGAGCGGAGCAGAGAACCGGGACCCCGCCCGGGAAGTGCGGGGAACTCAAGCGGTGCCCGCAGCGCGGCAGAACCGGGAGAGCCTCGGGGATCCCACCGGGAGCGGCTGCGCTTCCCAAACTCCCGCCGAGAGAGGGTGGGGGGGAGGAAGAGGAAGGCGGTGCCCGGTGCGGGGATCCCGCCGGGGCTTCCCCCGGGGCGATAACGGCGCCGCAGCAGCGATAACGGCTTGGGAGCACCTTACCCAGGCCGGCAGCTCCCCGCGGGCGGCGGCGCGCACCGCCGCTTCTTCTTCGCGGTGCAGGCGCTCGGCCGCGCGCATCCCGCGCTCCCGGGCGCGCCGCCGCCGCCGCCAGCCCGCGTAGAGCGCCAGGGCGAGCACCACGGCGCCCGCCCCGAGCCCCAGCAGCCCCGCGGCATAAGCGGGCAGCGCCCAGAGCAGCCGCCGGCCCAGGGCGCCCAGCGCCGCCAGCCCGAGCCCGCCCCGCCGCTCCATCTCCGCTCCCGCTCCGCTCCGCGCTCCCGTTCCGCTCCCGCCGCGGCGCCGCCCCGGCCGCGCCCCGCGCACGCACGCGGCGCTGATTGGCTGAGCGGCGCGGCTCGGGACACGCCCCCACACAACGCACGCGCCGCCCATTGGACGCCAGCCAGCTCCTGGCCACGCCCATTGAGCGCCGCGCCCTGGCCGCGCCCTCACGCGTCAATCATTGACCGTCCGCCAACTCCTGGCCACGCCCCCCGCGCGCATATTTTGACCACGCCTTTATTTACTATGTGGGCGTGGTCTGCGCGAGGGGCGTGGTCTCTGCGAGGGGCGCGGCCATGTCACGGCCCCGCGTGTCCCCATCTCGGGCCCGGTTTCCCCATCCCGGTGTCGCCGTTCCGGTTTCCCGGTCCCAGTCCCGGTGTCCCCATCCCGGTCCTGGTTTCCCCATCCCGGTGTCGCCGTTCCAGTGCCCCCATCGCGGTTTCCCGGTCCCGGTGTCGCCCCCCCCGCTCCCCGCACAGCCGGGCCCGTGCGGTTTTGGCCTTTTTCCGTTTAATAGCCGAAAACATTACAGGTACCACCCGGTACCACCACTCCCGGTGCTCAGTCCGCCCACGGCGCTCCGGGGGTCGCACCGGGATGAGTGGGGGTGGCACATCCCACCGTGTCCGTGTGTCCGTCCGTCCTCATCCCGCCACCCCCTGCGTCCACCGCGAGCCCCCCCTGCTCCCCGGTACCGGGAAGGGGGGGGTCAGTGTGGCATGGCCGTTATCCTCATGCTCTGCGAGGCGATGGGGTAGGTGACCATGGGCGTGGTGGCGTGGCTCATGGTGATGCCCCCGAGCGGCTGCGCCATGGACACGGCCACCGGCGCCACCGACACGGCCACGGGCGCCATGGAGACGGGCGGCGGCGCCATGCCCTGCGCGATGGTCTGCGCCAGCGCCGCCGCCGCCGACAGCGGCGCGATCTCGGGGTTCATGGGCGGCGCCCCGTTAGCGGGAGGGGCGGCCTGAGCGCCCGCCGGCGCCACCAAATCCTGCTGGGTGACCGGGCGGGGCTGCAGGGCCTGGCTGCTGAGCGTGGTGTGAGTCTGGGCGATGCTGTGGTTGTAGTTGGTCACCGTGGGCGCCAGCGGCTGCTCGGTGGCCGTGGCCGTGGAGCTCAGCGTCATCACCTTGGCCTGGTTGCGGAATTGGGCGTTCTGCTCCAGCAGCACCTCGTTGGTGGCCAGCAGGTTGTTGACCTGCTTCTTGAGGTCCTCCACGCGTTTCCTGAGCAGCACGTTCTCCTCCTCCAGCAGCCGGTACTCCACGGCCCGCGGGCTGGCGAAGCCGTACTCGTAGCTCTCGTAGAGCCCCTCGGCTCGCCGCCGTTTCAGCACCGGCTCGTCGGGCTCGTAGAGGCCATCAAAGGGCTCGTAACGCCGTCCTTGCTCTCTGCCCCGCGCCTCGTACTCGTAATCCCGCTGTAAGTGCTGGAATTTACACTTAGCACCGCGCTGGCAGTCCCCCTTGAGGAAATCCCTGCAGATGGGCACCTCCTCTTTGCTGTTGGGCAAATCCGCCGGCGACAAACCCAAGCCCGCGGCCACTTTCTGCCTGAGGCGCGGCGGCAGCTCGCCGGTTTTCTTGTAGCAATCCTCGTCCTCCTTGGTGCCGTGGATGAAGCGGCAGTTGAGGCGCACGCACTCCTTGTTCTGGAAGTCGTGGCAGAAGATGAACTCGTTCTTGCGCACGCCCAGGTTGGTGACCTCGGAGATGTCGGGGTGCCGGAAGCGGCAGCGCTTGCCGCGCTTGCAGACATTGCGCAAAAAGTCGCGGCAGATGTCGTCGTCGGGGAGGGCGGACGAGGATTCGTCGCCGCTGCTGACGCCACCGGGGCCGGTGCCGGTGCTGGCGGGGTAACTGTCCCGGTCCGGCATGGTGCGGGCAGGGGAGGAGGCTGGGGACAGGGAGGGAGGGGTCAGGGAGTGGGAGAGACCCCGGTGCTGATGGGGAGAGGGTTCACAGCCAGCCCGGGGTACCGGGAGAGGTCACCGGAGGAGGGACAAGGTCAGGGAGGGAGGGACAGGGAATGGGGGGAGTCCCAGCCCAAGGGGTCACCAAAGGAAGGAGGAACCAGGAATGGGGGACAGGGAATGGGGGGAGTCCCAGCCCAGGGTACTAGGAGGGAGAGAAGGAGGGACAGGGAATGAGGGAATCCCACCCCAAGGGGTCACCAGAGGAGAGAGAGAGGGACTGGGAGGGACCCTGGTGCTGATGGGGTGAGGGTTCACACTCACCCTGGGGTACCGGGAGAGGTCACTGGAGGAGGGATGGGGTGAGGGAGAGAGGGACAGGGAATGAGGGGGGCAATGAGGGGGGCAATGAGGGGGTGAATCCCACCCCGGAGCACCGGGAGAGAAGGAGGGAGGGACCCCGGTACTGAGGGGAAGGGGTCTACACCCACCCCGGGGCGCCGGGCACGCAGAGAGGGACCGGGAGCGATGCCAGGACCGGAGGAGGAGGAGGGGGATGAAGGAAGAACCGGGAGGGACCCCGGGACGGGGGGAGAGGGGGATTCACCCAGCGCCGGGCACCGAGGGAGGGACCGGGAGGGGCCCTGCGAGCACGGAAGGGAGGGGGAGAAGGAGGCACCGGGAATGCGCCCGGTACCGGTGGGAAGGGCAGAAGGGAGGAACGGTAGCGATCCCGGGGAGTCCCGGCGCTGGGGCGGAGCCGGTACCGGGGCAGCACAGCCGGGGATGCCCCACCGCAGCCCCGGTGCCCGCCAGCACCGCCGAACCGCGGGGGGAAGCCCGGCGCGTCCCCCGCGCCCCGTGACAGCCCCGCGAGCCGCACCGGGACGGGCACGGAGCGCACCGGGAGCGGCGGGGCCTGGCGGAGGGCGGAGCGCGGCCTCCCCCGGCCCAGCCCGGCACTCACCGGCTCGCGGCCTCCCCGCGGGGCCTCCGGCGCCACCAACGCGCGGCCGGTGCCGGCGGCGGGCGGGACCCGCTCGGTGCCGCTTCCGGGGCGGCCCGGAAGGAGCCGCGCGCGCGCGGCGCGCCGGAAATGCGTCACGCCGTGACGTCATCGGCAGGAGACGCCGTCGCGCCGTTACTGCGTGCTTGATCCCGGAAGATCCCGGGCCCGGCGGGCTCGGAGCGAGCCCGGTCTGTGCCCACGGCGCCGTTACCGGGGGGTTCCTCACCCCGCTCCCGTTACCGGAGGAATCAGCACCCTCGCCCGGCTCACCTGCCCCGTTACCGGAGAGTTTCCTCCTTCCCGGTCTCACCCACCTGCCCCGTTACCGGAGGATTTCCGGTGCCGCTCCCGGCCACCCCTGGTTCTGCCCATCTCCTGTTCTTTGAAGACCCCCCCAGCCCCGTTACCGGGGTATCTTCGGTTCCATCCCCAGCCCCGTTACCGGCGGGACCTCCACGCTGGTCCCCGGTTACCGGAGAAGCCGCCCCCGCCCCCGAACCTCCCTCCCCGGTCACCGACAGAGCCCCCACACCGTGTTAGCAACAAGAAAGTTTTATTCACGGCGCGGCGGCCGCCGCAAAGCACAGAACGGGCCCGGCCCGGCGGGGCCCCCCCGTGGCACCGGGACAGCACCGGGACGGCACCAGGAGGGGTCACCGGGCGTCACCGGGGCGTGTCCCCGCTCTGGGGGCCGTTACTTGGACCTCTGCCTCATCTTCCTCCTCTTGCGCTTCAGCCTGGGAACAGAGCGGGGCCGGTGTCACCCCGGGAAGGCACCGGGAGGGAACCGGGGGTGGCACCGGGAGCTCCCCCCGGGCTGGGAGGGCACCGGGAGCCGCCCCCGGTGCGGCGGGGCCGGCCCGGGGCTCTCACGTACCTGCGCATTCGCTTCTTGCGCCACTGCGGAGAGAGGGGAGGGGAGGGAGTGAGACAGGGCAGGGATCCCAGTGCGACCAGTGCAAACCAGTGCCCCCCAGTTGAACCAGTACCCACCTGTGCCCCCCAGTGCCCACCAATGCCACCTGTGCCACAGTGTAACCAGTGCCACCAGTGCTCCCAGTACCCACCAGTGTCCCCACTGTCCCCAGTGCTCCCAGTCCCCACACTGGTTTGGTTCTTTCAGTGCCCCCAGTCCCACTGGTTTGGCTCCCCAGTGCCCCCAGTCCCACTCTGGTTTACTTTTCCCAGTGCTCCCAGTTCCCACCAGTGTCCCCAGTCCTGTACTGGGTTATTTCCCTCAGTGTCCCCAGTCTGGTTCTCCCAGTACCACCAGTCCCACACTGGTTTGTCTCTCCCAGTCCCCACCAGTGTCCCCAGTCCTGTACTGGTTCATTTCCCTCAGACACCAGTCTCACACTGGTTTCTCTCTCCCAGTAACCCCAGTCCCAAACTGGTTTGTCTCTCCCAGTGCCTTTAAGTCCCTACCAGCCCACCCCAGTCCCACAGCGGTCGTGTCTCCCAGTATCCCAGTTCCACACTGGTTTGCATCTCCTAGTGCCTCCAGTCCCCCCAGTGTCATACTGGTTTGATTCTCCCAGTTCCAGACTGGTTTGTCTCTCTCTACCCCCAGTCCCAGATTGGTTTAACTCTCTCTACCCAGTTCCATACTGGTTTAACTCTCACTACCCCAGTTCCAGACTGGTTTGTCTGTCTCTACCCCCAGTTCCAGACTGGTTTAACTTTCACTACCCCAGTTCCAGACTGGTTTAACTCTCACCACCCCAGTTCCAGACTGGTTTGTCTCTCTACCCCCAGTCCCAGACTGGTTCCGCTCCCCCGGTGCCTCCAGTTCACCCCAGTCCCCCACCAGCTTCTTTCTCTCAGTTCTCCCAGTTTCCCCCCACATTCCTCCAGCAAAGACACCCCCAGGGACCTCACAACCCCTACACCGGGACCCCTCCCGTTCCCCGGTTCCCCACACCGGGACCCCCCCGTTCTCTAACCCTGGGACCCCTCCCACTCCCAGGTTCCCCCCACCGCTCGTCCAGGCCGCAGCCCCCCCCCTCCCCGCTCCATCCAGGCCCGGCCGCTACTGAGGCGCCATCGGCCGCCCCCGCGCCGCCTCCCGCCGCTCACCTTGGCCCTCATGGCGGTTCGGCGGGGCCCCGCTCAGTCCCGGCGGGCGGGGGGCGGCAGATGGAGGCGGATGGCGGCGGATGGAGGCGGCGGCCGTGGAAGGCACCAAGATGGCGGCGGCCGAGAGGGGCGCGAGCCGACCGGTGGGGCCTATTTATAGGCAAGCGTTCAGGCCACGCCCACCGCCGCGCGAGGCATGACGGGAAGTGTAGTTCCTTGTTGATGGAGCATCATGGGAGTTGTAGTCCAGCCGCCGGCCGCCATTTTGCGCCGCCGCGGGGTTCGGTTCCTCCCCGCCTCAAATTTATTGGAAATAAAAGCACCTAATTTTTTTTTTTCGTCAATTTCCGCTTATCCAAGCCTTTAACAGTAATTTTGTTGCATCCCGAAGCCCCTCTGGAGACTTACCTTTCAAGTAAAAATATAAAATACTTTTATATTGTAGCATAAAAGATACAAAATAAAAAATTAAATAAACTTTCCGCGAGTCTCGGCGGTTTTTAAATCCCTGCTATGGATTGAAAAAGCTTTTGGCTCCCGTCTCCAAGTGGAAAACGAATTTTAAAGCCTAAAATTACAATTTTTCCCTAAAGTCAGGGTGTTTTTGCCACAGAATGAGATTTTTACTTCTGCAAAATAGGGCGGGTTTACCTCAAAACGAGTTTTTTCCCCTCAATATTTATTTTCCCTCAAAATGAGGGCTTTGTTTTTCCTTAATATTGAGGGTTTTTTCCTTCAAAATCTGGGGTTTTTCCCCTAAAAATCAGCATTTTCCCCTCAAAATGAGCATTTTTCCCTCAAAAAATGAACATTTTCCCCTCAGAAATGACCATTTTCCCCTCACAAATCAGCATTTTCCCTCCAAAAATTAGCATTTTTCCCACAAAAGTGAACATTTTCCCCTCAAAAATGATAATTTTCCCCTCAGAAAGGAGTGGTTTTCCCTCAAAAATGAACATTTCTCCCCTCAGAAATCAGTTTTCCCTCACAAATCAGCATTTTCCTTCCAAAAATTAGCACTTTCCCTTCAAGAATTAGCATTTTTCTCTCAAAAATGGTAATTTTCCCCACAAAAATGAACATTTTTCCCTCAAAATTGAGCATTTTCCCCTCAAAAATCCCATTTTCCAACACCAAACCCGCCCAGGCGGGTTCCACCCCACAATCCCAAATCCCCAGGGAAAGACGGAAGAAAAAAACCCGGAATAAAATCCAATATCGCATCGTTTATTCTCTTTTATTTGACTTTGGTAACATTTGCACGTGTGGAGTTTTTTGTTTTTTTTATTTTGGGGTGGAAAACTCGGATTTCGAGGAGGAAGCACCGCGGCCTGCGGAGAACGCCCGGGAATGTTGGGTAAGGCGGGAATCAGAATTCCCAAAAACTTGAGGGGAAAAAAAGAACCAGGGGTACCGGCAAAGAAAAAAAAAAACCTCAAACATTCAACTGACGGCGTTTAATCGGCTTTTTTTTCTCGTTTTTATGTGGTTTTTTTGTAAAAAATTGACTATAAAAGAGCGATACCCCTAGGCTCGGGCCTATCCCGGATCAGCGCTTCCCTCACCTCTCCCCTGAGGAATTCTGGTGGGATTTTTGTTTTATTTTTTTCCCCTCAAAATTAGCAAAGAATCCTGAGGGAAAAAGTGAAATAAAAATTATCCTCCGGCTCACGGGGAAAAGGTGGAATGTGCTCCCGGGGATATTGGGAAGGATAAAAAACACCCAAACCCGGGGGTTTTAGGGAATTCAGCTCCGCAAGGCCGGAATGTCGGCGGCTTCCAGAGGGTTTGGATTATTTTAAAAACCAGTTTGTGTTAAAAAATAGCGATTTTTTTTTTTTTGAAATCCCATAAATCAAGGCAGAGGCAGAAAAGGCTCCTGGTGGGTGAGTGGGTGGATGGGGGAACTTAAAATTTGGATTTTTTTCCCAATTCTTAAAGTACAATCCCAAAGAGGGAAAAGATAAAATCCTGGATTGCTCGTACAGGGCACTTTTCTGGGTGGAATCACTTGGGTTTTTTTGGGGTTTTTTTTTTGGTGAAAATTTCCAAAGGGAAAAAATTAAAAAAATAAAAAAGGCAGCAGGACAAAGAGGAGGAGGAGGAGGAAGGAACCAGCAGCTCCCTCCACTCCCTCTCCCTGGATTTTACAAATTCACCTCTCCAAACATGGGGAATATTAAGGATTTAATAGCGACTTTCACTCCTAATTTTCATTAATTTTTCTTTTGCTGCTCTTTCTGGGGTGTTTTTATTCTCTTTTTTTTTTCTTTTGGAAGTCTGAAGTGGCCGAGAGATTCCTCCCTCCTTGGCAAAGTCAACGGGAGCTGTTGGATTCTGTGGGAATTCCAGACTGCCTGGACCAACACCGGTGCCAGATTCTTTCGTTTCCGGATGGAATTTTGTTTTTCTGGGGGTTTTTTTTTTGGGGAAAAAAGGGGCGATTTGAGAACTCCAAGGGCTCTCAGTCGCCGGCCTCGTTCTCCTCCGCCGTCTCCCCCGTGGTGGCGTTTTCAGCGTTTTTGGAAGCCTGTGGGGACAAATCCAGGGATTTTTCAGGTTATTTTCCATTAAAAAACCCCAAAATTCTTAATTTGGGGCTTCCCAGCATAAAATGTGACTGATTTTACCTTCTTTTTCTTCTTTTTCTGAGTCTTCCGGCTGGCAGAGCTTTGTAGAAGGGCCTGGAAGGGAGGGAAAGGTGAGGAGGTGGGAAATGATCCTGGGGTTTTTTTGGATAATAATAAATTTGGGAATTTGGGTCATTTTGTGGGGTTTTGGTTCCCTTTCCTTTGTCTCCCCTCCATGGGAGCAAGGATAGGTGACCCTGGGGAGGTGCTGCTTTATTAATTAGCAATTTTTATTTATTAATTTAAATTAACTATTCATTTCTTAATAAATCAATAAATAATAAAACAAATGAATAATATATTTATTATTAATTTATTTTTAATTGTATGTATTACCCTTTCAATTATTAAATATTCGATATTAAATATTTCAATAATACTTCAGTTGTTCATATTTCAATTATCACCATTTTCATTCTCAATATTATCATTATTATTCCAGTAATTAATTTTAAATTAAGATGAAAATGCTACTATTTCACTCCTTAATATATTAATTAGACTATGTGTTATCTGTATTTATATATCTATTCATATAAATATATAATTTATAATCTAATTAATAGACTATTAGTTAGGCTATATAATTAATGTAATCTTTATATCTTTATATATATTAATAACATTATAAATTAATTTTGAGATTTTTATTTATTGTATATTTTATTTAGACACAATTTATACTATTTTATATTTATTATATATAAAAGTTTAGTTTTAAATTTATTTATATATAAAGATTTATTACTGATTAGCAATTAATCCATTAATATTAATAACAATTATAAATGTATTTTCTGTTTTATTTTCCAAGTAAATAGAACTATTAAAAAACAATATAATTAATAAAAATACTATATAGATACATTTTTCCTATGAATATTTCATATGGAAATACAAATGAAATAATTTTACGTTTACCCAGGTACTTAATTTGCATATTAGCATTATTAATGATTAATATTAATGATGAGCTTACCTTGAGCTCCCCATCCTGCACCTCCAGGTCGGATTTGTAGAGCTCAGGCTCGAAGGGGCCGCTCGTGATCCTCATGGGGCCGTTGGGCATCAGCAGCACCGTGAACTTGAACTGGGCCACGAACTCCCCTGCGGGCACACAGGGGTTAACCTGAGCTACTGCCCTGCCAGGACCTGGGGTTAACCTGAGCTACTGCCCTGCCAGGACCTGGGGGATAACCTGAGCACCCGGGGGTTAACCTGAACTACAGCCCTGCCAGGACCTGGGGGTTAACCCTGAGCCACAGCCCTGCCAGGACCTGGGGGTTAACCTGAACTACAGCCCTGCCAGGAACTGGGGCTGACCCTGAGCCACTGCCCTGCCAGGACCTGGGGGTTAACCTGAGCACCTGGGGGTTAACCCTGAGCCACAGCCCTGCCAGGACCTGGGGTTTAACCTGAGCTACAGCCCTGCCAGGACCTGGGGCTGACCCTGAGCCACTGCCCTGCCAGGACCTGGGCGTTAACCTGAGCACCTGGGGGTTAACCTGAGCACCTGGGGGCAACCCTGAGCCACAGCCCTGCCAGGACCTGGGGGGTTAACCTGAGCACCCGGGGGTTAACCTGAACTACAGCCCTGCCAGGACCTGGGGCTGACCCTGAGCCACAGCCCTGCCAGGACCTGGGGGTTAACCTGAGCTACCCCCCTGCCAGGACCTGGGGGTTAACCTGAGCACCTGGGGGTTAACCTGAGCTACAGCCCTGCCAGGACCTGGGGCTTAACCTGAGCACCTGGGGGTTAACCTGAGCCACAGCCCTGCCAGGACCTGGGGTTTAACCTGAGCCACAGCCCTGCCAGGACCTGGGGTTTAACCTGAGCTACAGCCCTGCCAGGACCTGGGGGATAACCTGAGCACCCGGGGGTTAACCTGAACTACAGCCCTGCCAGGACCTGGGGCTGACCCTGAGCCACAGCCCTGCCAGGACCTGAGGGTTAAACTGAGCCCCAGCCCTGCCAGGACCTGGGGATTACCCTGAGCACCCGGGGGTTAACCTGAGCCACAGCCCTGCCAGGACCTGGGGATTACCCTGAGCACCCGGGGGTTAACCTGAGCACCGGGGGCTGACCCTGAGCCACTGCCCTGCCAGGACCTGGGGCTGACCCTGAGCACCTGGGGGTTAACCTGAGCCACAGCCCTGCCAGGACCTCCAATCCCTGCTCCTTACACCTGCCAGGACCTGCAATTCCTGCTGTGAGCGGCTCTGCAGATCCAAATTCACCTGGGCTCCTCCTCACCTGATCCCCTGTGTCCCCCATGGTCTCGCCTGTCCCCCCAGGTGTCCCCACCTGTAGCCCCAGGTGTCCCCCATGGTCTCACCTGTCCCCTCAGGTCTCACCTGACCCCTGTGTCCCCCAGGTGTCCCCCAGTGTCCCAGTCTCACCTTCCTTCTCGTAGAGGACGTTGAAGGGCTGCAGCAGCTCGTGCTTGGCGCACTCCACCACCCCCATGCGCGCCTTCTTCTCATCCTCCAGTGCCCTGGGGGGACAGCGCACCTGAGCACACCTGGGCACACCTGGGCACACCTGGGCACACTTGGGAGTGCCTGAGCACACCTGGGCACACCTGAGTGCACCTGAGCACACCTGGGTGCACCTCAGTGCACCTGAGCACACCTCAGTGCACCTTGGATTGTGCCTGAGTGCACCTGGGCACACCTGGGAGTGCCTGAGTGCACCTGAGTGAACCTGGAATCACACCTGAGCACACCTGGAATCACACCTGGAATCACACCTGAGCACACCTGGGCACACCTCAGATCGTGCCTGGCACACCTGGAAGTGCCTGAGTGCACCTGAGCACACCTGGGATCCTACCTGAGTGCGCCTGG